TGGCGAATTTGTCGGCAGTACTGCATTACCGCCATTCCCTGGCGGTGCGTATGCGCCTTTGAGGTATGCAACAGAAATTTGTTTATTTTTTGTGTCAGCGACTTGCTGACCGTTTATGGTTGCTTGGTAGAATTTTATGTTTGTGAGTTTAGCCAAACCGCGAGGAACGTGCTAGAGTGACCAGAAGCGAACTTTTCGTAATTTTGACGTAATTTTATTTGGTGTCAAATTAAAGGATTTGAGAGGACTTTCGAAAAATTTAATAATTTAATCTAAATAAAATATGAAAGAATTGAAATTGGAAAAACGAGCATAAATTCTAAAAATAAAATTGTGTGCAAACTCACTTTTTGTTAGAAATAATATAAAAAAAATATATTTTCATTTTGTTTTTCAATAATATTTCTTTTGACATATCTATATCCAAAGACTAGTTTTTATAAAAAAATACATTTCTGCAATAAGCAGTTAATTTGTGCTTTTGACATTTTGTATGAGTTTACTTCAAAAAGAGTATCAATTAAAATTAAATACAGAGATGTACATCTGCAACACTAGTAAAATGGGCTAACGAAGATGATGCTTCAAGCGAAGACATACAAAAAAATACCTAAAAGTTGTTCGTTCGCGTGTGGCAATGTTCGTAGCATTCAACGAATAATGAAAACTTCTAAGCGCATGCGTGGAAAGCTCGTTCAAATTGCTTGCATGACTGTACGACTTCGCCCCGCCTAATAAATACTTGATATCCATGTTAGGCAAATCGAATTGTACTGCGAAAAGACGGCAAATCGAATTGTACTGCGATTAAGAAATTAATAAATAAAAAATTAAAATATTTAAGTATTGTTTATGAATAGAAGGGGACACTTGGTGCTAGTCATCCAAAATTTTGTACCTGATCCAGATATTCGTTCCACTTAAATGCGAAAAATTGAAATTTTGAACCTGTTCCATACGAATAGCATAGCTTGTGACGACTCCACAGAAATTTTGCAAGCTTAAGCCAAAAAATCGGAATTTCTACCAGGCACATATAGCCGACTAGTAGAAATATTGAAGATCAATTTCATAGAATAATTTCTCTATTTATGGACCGATCATGGTTACGGACTCCATCGAAAGGGGACACTTGGTGCAAGTATCCAATCATTTTGGACCTGATGCGGGTATTTTTTCGTTTGTTTATTGTTCTCTAGAAGTAGCTTATGAACAGATCTCTCTCTCTTCCTTATATGAAGTATATATATTCCAAACTTTTAGTAGACAGTTCGTCATTGGACATTGAATCCATAAGAGAAAATATGCAGAATATTAAATTTTTCTTCGCTCTACTGTGCTTAATTGGGATAACTGCAGTTATAGGTAAAATTATTATTTATGACAAGTATAATAATATTACATTTATTTCCTTAGTAATTTGTCACTATATGTCTTTTATTAAACCTATGTAGCTCAACCGAGGTGCCAGCCGCGTACATTTAACGTTCTGGCTGGTCAAAGAATTTGTGAACGCCTATGTCTTTCGGGACCAGGATCCACTGCAAGTACGCGTTGTGCCACAGCACGTGTTGCGACCAGTGTTACACTCTGTCCGATGAATTGCTGTCGGCTGAGATCGGTTTGTCAGTGGGTTTATCAAGCTTAGATGAATTCCGAGGGAGTAATGTTGACGAAAATAATTTTTGATTTAATCTAGTGCAAATTATTTCAATTCCTTAATTTGTTGTTGCAGACGCTTTTATTCTTATTCAATGTAAAAGCCTTATACTATCCTTTAAATATACTGTGCTGATTTTTTCTTGAAAATAATATTCCTTCATCCATAAAAGTCATTTTAAATCAATTATCCGACTATTTTACATATTGGATCAAATTTATCTGATCGCCAATAAAAATTGCTTATTTCTCAAGGTATTAATTATAGTAAAAAGAGAAGAAGAAAGACGATCTCATTCCGACTACCGAAACAACGGCGTGGTCCACCATTAGCTATGAATATAAGTTAGATGTAATGTACTTAAATCTACCAAAAGTATCCAAGCAAATTCTATATAATCTATATAATAAGGAAAGATGGAATAGTACACTACCACAGCCGATAATGCGAAGGAAATTATATATTGTAAGAAACAGGTCAGCTCACCTCACGGTACTATAGACAACTTTAGTTTCAACAAATATACTGAAACGGATTATACTGTGTAGTATCTCGGTTATGTTGTAGCTCACTTCAAAATTTGCTTGCCAGCGATTGATATCTTTAATAACCACCATATGACATATATGGTTCCTGTCCTACCGGCTGACTATATACAGTATGTAAATATAGATCAATATTTTAGATATCCTAACAAAATTATGAGAACATGTTATGCATAGTACGAGTACAGTATAATTTGATACCTAAAATGTAAAAAATGGGACCCATTTTCTCCCAATTTCCATATGTTGGTTAACATTTTCCGGTCTGGGTGTTTTTCCTTTTGTTGGATATATGCATATTCGATCAGCACGTGGAATATCTTAGCAAAAATCCATTAGAAATCGATGTATACATTTCGACATCTTCAAATATTTCACGCACATTCATACTAATATACTGATAGAGTAACTAATATACGAGTATGTCCGAAATCTTCATTACCTTTTACGACCGAAGTAATGCTCAATAAAGCAGCAAAAATTAGTATGATTTTAAATTTACACATTTTCGTAATAAACCGTTACTTCATATGAGAAAAAAATGATATCTGTTTAAACTTTTATAGTAATTTTATGGAAACATCTGACCTTATAGTATAGTTTTCATTGAATTTTTGGGGAATTAATTGTATTGGGGTCAAGTTAACAACAAAATGTAATTTTTTTTGTTTGTTTTTGAAACATCTTGCTTTAAATATATTGACAGTATTAATAAAGTGAACAATCAAAATTATTGAAATCAAAAGTCGGTTCAGAATCGGACTTTAAGGTGGATGCGTAATAACCACTTAACTAAACTCCTGGAGCTTGTGGCGAGTCACTATCCAGGCGTTGTCCTGATGGAACACAATTTCTCTCCTATGGCTGAGAAAAAGCTGGCCGCTTCTGAACGGTTGCTTTTGTCGTTGTTATATTATGGTTGGACTCGACGATTTCCATTGGTTTATCGATATTTTCGTTAATTGACCTTTCAGAGCGTGGTGAATCTTTGACACCAAAATTACCGAAATGGAATCGATGACTATAAACACTATTCACATATTCAGGCGATTGGTTTGCGATTTCGCCTTTTGGAAGTAGCACTGAAAATCAATGGCGCATTTTATTTTTTCTGGTGGCGTTAAGCAATCAAAAAACGGTCTAAGAAGTTTTTTTAGTACGAAATTTTATCTTTCTAACACCATAAAACGTAATTCAATCGCACTTATTGTATATTACGCAAAACACAGATTATTAAAGTCGTCTATTGGATAAACAATAAATTTATCTTTACTAGACTTTTTTTATTTTTGAATACATACGAGTATATCAGTTTTCTTTTGAGTATATTTTAATGAAAGATTGAAGATTTTTCACAACCAACTAATTGTGATTTATTAGAGCAACAATTTTATAAAAGACCTAAGTGAATGAAGATCATTTATTTATCGATTCAAAAAGTCCATTATACGAAACTGATTTAACTTTACGTAGCTATGTGCGAATTTTGGATCACTGAAACAATTATACGACTGTGAAAAATATCAAAGAAGCTTCCTCATTATCAGTCCATATATGAAGGGCCTTTTTAATACTACATACAATTGCCAAGCTACATATATTGATGTATTTTCCCACACCCACATATCCTCAATAGTTTGATAGAATCGATCGTTTTAAAAGGGGTGTTCTACTCTCGATATTCTAAAAATTCGATTTTTTTTTTCATATTTATATATCTAAACTAGAAATTCGAAAATATCTACTTAAAATAATTTTTACAAATCCAATTTATTTATAAGTTATAGCTGTTTTATAATTGTGGTAACTCAGTCTTAACGAAAACTAAAAATTTCTTATTTATAATATTTTTTTAAAAATCTCGAAAAAGTTAAAAACTAATAAAAGCCCTTAAGGAAGAATTCGTCTTTTAGCATATTTTTGAAATGTCTACAAGGCAGGGATCTTGACAACAAGGATGCAGCTTTTTCCAATATACCCAAGTGTTAATAACTTTATCAAAGTTTATTTTTTGGTTAAAATTTATTTTGTTTACTCTTGAAATATGAATACACTATACAAATTATGAAAATGATAGTAAAAATATTCATTGCTTTTTTATTAATTGCCAAAAAAACGCTCGAAATTCGGGCTACTAGCGTTATTAATGTATTTATCTTTACTGGACCTTATACGAGTACTCGCATATCCGTATCCATCACAGTCAACAGAGAGTTTGAAATTGAGGAATACTTTTTTATATTTTCTGTCACAGCTAAATTACTTGAAATTTTCTAATAACTTTTTGTTGTCCCCCTCATACTCTGTTCGGTAGATGACAGGAATTGGCCATGCGACAGCAAGTCGGCGGACAGAGCGCAATAATTTGGCCAGCTCTTACTGTAGCACAAACAATGGATTGGCCAGGGATCGGAATGCAGGATCGTTGACAAACTCTTCGAGTTGTAGTTATTCTAACTGACACCATCCGACAGTAACCTAAAAAAAAAGCTTTATGTAGAGAAATATTCGATATAAAATTGTAAAGGTTATATGAAAATATGGAACGCTTACCGAAAGCGGTGGCAGCCAAGCAAAATAACAACATATAAGCGAGTAATTTCATGCTGCGATCGAATAAGTTGAAAATAAATAGTGAAATAATAATGTTAAATATATTTATTAGCGTATTTATAGGGATTTTTTAGTTGAATTCTACAGATTTGTGTTGTTCGAAGATGTTTTTCATTTTTAATTTAATTCATGGAAAACATAAATACTATTTTATAAGAACCCGTAACAAAATAAAATGTATTTAAAGCTTTAGGACAATTCTTCAGCGTATTTATTGTTGTATTTTATTGATATTTATATAATTGTTGTTCTTTCTGGCCTTTCCTTTAAACAGATGTTTCTGTTACAAATGTTTCTTGTTGGCGCTGAATTATGGTAAACAACAACGATTAATGCAATAACCGTATCAAAAGGCTTGATATTATTTCAACCATAAAACAGTGAGTGAAAAAAGTTCTTTAAAATAAAATCTGAATCGTATGGTAATATTATTTTCCCGATTTCGAATGGAAATCCTTGAGTCACAGTTTACTAAATTTGTGTACATTATCTAGAATATGGTTCTAATGGATTTAACAAAATTATGACCCCTAGAAAGTTATACTAAAAAACTTTGATTTACCATTACATTTTTCCGAAATTGTCAGTATAAAAGCTTTAAAGCCAGATAAGTAAGTAAAACCTTGCGACCAAGATATAAGCCTATTGATTACATATGTATTTTCAAGTGTATTTAGTCGAAGAACCGTCTTTTCTTATATTGAACATATGTGCGATCTTTTGAAAGATCCTACAAGTATATTGAATATCGGACCTATAGATTTTTGTGGTTTTGCTCGTACTCCGTACATAGACTAAAATATATATTAATTATGGAAATTTCATTCAATGGAGGCGGATTGTAATCCTACAATGTTTTTCTGTAAGAATTCTATAAAGTGGTACTGAAACCAATTAAATAACAGTTATCAGTCATACTTTTTTTTTTGCATTGTAATAAATTAAATCTTATGTAAATATATATGTACTATTCCAGCTGCCGAAGTTCCGCCTATATAAGCACAAACATTTGTCCCAATAATTTCAGTGAATAAATAATCCACAATTAAAACCATTAAGACTAGTACTACTTAAAAATAATGGCAACATTTTTCAAAATAATGTGGCTAATATGGATTCTCAGTTTGACCACAGCGCAAGGTAAGCAATCTTCTTTGCAAAAGAATAAGCATAATCTTTTCTAAAACATTACATTTTGTTTTAGCTCAAACCCGTGTGTGCCAAAGAATAGCAATTAATGCCCGTGCTGGTCAAAGACTTTGCGAGCGCCAATGCCCTCCAAACCGTTTGCGTTTCTTATGCGCCACTGTACGTATAGTGCAAACAATAAGGTTATGCCCACCAAGTTGTTGTCGCATCGGCGACGGTTGTCGTACATTTTAATGATTACATTTCCGGAAATATACTGTTAATAAGCAAATTGTAAGAAGGTTGTAAAATTAAGATACCTTCGTATCTATAGAAAGAATTTAAATACAATAATTGATAAAAAGAAATGGAATATCTTTTACACTTGAAAAATCAAATCGGATTTTGTGAGGTTTGTATGCTTTTTTGGTTGCCAAGAGCTGAAGGAAATTCGTTGGATTAGATCCTGTACATCGAAAACAGTTTAAGAAAAGTCGTCATTCATATAGCCAAATGTTGTTGTAGGGTATATAAAATAAATTAAAATATATATGTATATACATATATACTCAAAATAACCAGGTTCTAGTGAGGCACCTAAAAGGGTAAATATAATGCTTTTACTGTAGTGCGCCAGAGGAATCTTTTAGTCGAAACATAATCGATTTCTCTTTTGAAAAAAGTTAAAAATTTGTGTTTTCCAATGATTCTAAATAGTCTGGAGACATTGCAGGTAAATAAACCTAAATATGGGTTCTTTACATGTATCTCAAACTAATATAGTGCATTCCACTCTTAACACGTTAATCAACGAACTTTTTTCAAATTTAATTTTGACCGCTACAAGTGGCCCCAAGGACATATTTACTTAAGTATTCACAATTCGGTTCATACCGCTCATATCGTTCCACTATACTCGTAGCATATAGCTAACCTCCTTGTATGAAAGACTTTTTATTTGACAGGAGCTCTTCACGAAATTGGAAAGGGATTATTACTCAAGGCAGCGTTACAATCTTCGAAGAAATTGTTCAGATAGGCATCCTATAGCATATAGCTGAATGAAAGAATGCACCTGTGACGCGTATTATAACTCCGGTAAAGCCAAAGTAAACGTTTTTTCTTGTTTTGAGGTTACTTGGACAACATTAATTTTTAAAGAAAATGGTCAAAGGTGTTAAAGCATGTATTTCAATGATCAAAACGAACACAAAATATACCTGCAAACATATTTAGGAAACACGATATAAAAGACAGCAAGCACGAAAATCAATCAAATAATCGTCATAAAGACTTAGATCCACCAATTTTTCACAGTGGTTTTAAACTGAGGGTGCACTCCGGTAACAAGAACATTTTATACATACTCTTATGTAGCGAATGGGTTAATCTATTATTGAAGGATTACAATTTAAATTTACCAACAGAATCAATATGATTTTTTTAAAGAAGAGATTACAGTATAAATAGCACAAGTGAAAGGCTTAACAGAGTCATTACGAAATACGCTCGTTACAGTTAAGATGCCGAAATTTTGTTTACTTTTATTATTGAGTATACTCAGCTTGGCAGTTATACAAGGTAAATGTGTGGAATAAAAACATATTCCATTGAAATTTTGACACCATAAACATAGTTGTGAATAATGAATGTCATTCTTTTACAAGTACCTATAGTTGCAGCTAAATATGCAGGATGCAGGCCGACCACTTTAACACTGCGGCGTGGACAGCAAGTTTGTCACCGAATTTGTGTGAAAGAAGGTGTGCGAAATCAGTGCAATAGAATGAAAATATTCTCTCGAGTTAGCGTATGCCCATTGGGTTGCTGTCAACTTGGCGATAGTTGTGTGTCGCTCATAAGTCGAAAGTTTTGAAATAATATGCCGTTCTGTAAATTTGTTTAGTGTATAAATATTTTGTGTGAGTTCCTTTGTAGTATCTCTCAAACAAGGAAGATGAATAAAATGTTTTTAAAATTTTTGAATAGAAACACTATGTATATTTGAGATGAAATTTTACTTTTAACCCGCTATTTTGGGAACACAACCTGGCCTGGCTGGCCAAACTGCTGTCATTATCATTTTGTCATTTTGTTCTCATTGTGTCAACGACCAGCAGAATCAATACGATTTTTTAATTGAAAACACAGATTACTGCATAAAAAGCTCAACTGAAAAGCTTAACAGAGTCATTACGTATTACGTTCATGACAGTTAAAATGTCGTAAATTTGTTTACTTTTATTATAGAGTATACTCAACTTGGCAGTTATACAAGGTAAATGGGCAGAAGAGAAACATATTTCGTTGTAATCTTGATTCTCCAGCAATCTTCAACACAGTTGTGAATAATGTTATTCATGTACAAATATTTACAGCTCAAAATGCCAGCTCAACCTTTTACACTGCGAACGGGACAGCGAGTTTGTTACCGAATTAGTGTAGGAGATGGTGTACATAATAATAAGAAAATATTGTACATTCGAATGAGTGTATGTTCATTGAGTTGCTGTAAACTTGGCAAAAGGTGTGTGCCTCTCAGAGGTCGGACATTTTGAGAGAATCATCCGTTCTTTGAACTTGTTTAAAATATATGTTATTTGGCGAGCTCATTTTTAGTATCTCTAAAATAAGAAAGCATAATAAATTTGGTATAAATTATTTAACAGAAATATTATTATATTAAAAGTAATAGTGTACAAGTAGTTTGGAGTTCCGCTTGACATAAACGATTCATACTTGACAGCCAAGGTCAAACGTCCAAGGGTATTTCTGAGTTTTCTTAGTAACTGAATTGAAAATCTTTTGAGGCAATTTTATTGAAATATTGAAGATTTTTCTGAATCTACCAAATGCGATTTACTAGAACAAAAATTTTACAAAAGACATAAGTGAAATAAGATCATTTATCTATCGATTCAAAAATTCGATTGTCTTTATATATCTATGTACGAATTTTAGATCACTGAAAAATTTATACGACTGTGAATAATAGCAAGAAGCAACACCATCAAGTCGATATGGGAAAGGACCTTTAATACTACTTAAATCCCTTTCTCGACTATAAACCAAACTTATAGTCTGCTTCTAAAGACCAACGTATTGAACTTTGCTATTATAGCTATTACTTTTGTGAAGTCCATTGTTGAAATGAGCAGAAACCAGTTGGAATACTTTCTGTGCGAGAAAATTTGTATTAATTTAAACAACTTACCCAGGCAATCGCAGCTTTTGTCTTTAAAACTGCCAAGCTTCATATGTTGATGTATTTTCTCAGACCCACATATTCTCAATAGTTTGATGGAATCGATCGCCTTACAAGGGGTATTCTCTCTCTCTCAAAATTTGAAAAAACCGAAATCTTTTTTTTCTTTCATATTTCGATATCTAAACTAGAAATTCGAAAATATCAACCTAAAAGAGTTTCTAAAAATTCCAATTATTAAGTTATAGCTGTTTAAGGGTTGTGGCAACTCGGCCGGTTTAGTCTTAACAAAAACTGAAAATGTCTAATTTATAATAGTTTTTAAAAAACTCGATAAAGTAAAAAAAAATAAATAAAAACCTTTAATGAAGAATTCGTCGTTTAGCAAATTTTGGAAATATTCACAAGGGCAGGGATCGTGGTGACAAATACGCAGCCTTTTCCCTCTCTCCTCTATGAAAATTTATTTTTGGGTTTCTGAAATTTTATTTGTGTACTTTTAAAATGTGAATAAACAAATAATAAAAAATTATAACAGTAACAATATCAATTGCCAAACAACGTTCAAGATTCGGGCTTCTGGACTGGAAAACTTCTTTAAGCGTCGCGTTATTAGCACGGGCGCAAGGGAGTGCGCAATATTTTCGGTGTGACGTTTTTTCATTCTTGGGAACTGCTAGCTTCAGCAAATATGAGGCTAGAGATTAAAACCAAGTTGGACCTGGGCATAGTTATGCTATTTAATAGTAAACTAAAACGAGTGGTAATTAAAAAGGATGTATTTTAAGAGGAAGTGTCTCTGATAGTATTCGAGAGTAGAGTTTAAAGAAGGATTTTGCAATTTCCTTCCAGGAAATACACATTTGAGATTTCCTTTAACTTCTGTATTATGGTTATATATAAAATATGTATGTATTATATTTACACTTTTATAAAGCAATAATAAGTCAATGTTTACGAGAGTATAGTCTACAATATATACATATTTTATTAATTTTTGTAGTTAAAACAAAAAATATCTTATCCATGTTTCCACTGATGGCGACACTTTCTTTTTCATCGCTGCAATAAAAATTCATTTAGTCGTATCAAATTTGCATAATATTTACACAATTGGTGCCTGAAATCTGAAATATATAATGAAATGAGAACAATTACCCAAACGTTTTATCAAGAGAAATATATTACTGTAAAAATATTTAAATTAACCGTATAATTATAAAATTCATCTTTTTTGTATAAAACGCAATGCGGAAACTTGAATATAGTATATTGGAGTCATACACTTCTCAGACTTTCACTTAATATTGTCAAAAATGACAAAATATTTAATGTTTATTTTAGGCTTTACTGCTATCTGCATTCTCATTACTAGCGGTATGTAAATATCGTTGATATTATATAAAAATTTATAATCGCAAATAACTATATTTAGCACAAATCCCGAATTGCACGCCCCTAATCATTCCTTTGTGTCGAAATCAACGCTACTGCCAACTGAATTGTCCACCAATATTGCCTCGCTTTCTTTGTGTAACTGCCACGAAGGACATTCGATTACCAGTCTGTCCACATGGCTGTTGCCGTTCTGGTAACATATGTGTTCCAGTCAAAGGACCTAGGTAAACGATGTTTAGCTCAGTTATTGAATTATTTCATTACCACAGAAATATTTGCGGTTAAAATGAATAAGAATATATTTGGCAGCAATTCAAACTGATTTAAAATTATGAAAATTAGTGTATTAACTATTTCCGGTTTCAGTGTGAACTTTGTGTACTATATACTTAAAAGCTTTGCTCGTTGAAACTTTTACTTTGAAAGCTTTAAGCTTATTAATGTAATATGTTGAAAAGCTTACTTGTATAATTCTTTCCGTTTGTATATAATATATACAGCGTCTACCAACAGGGATGACGTGATTTTGAAAGCTTGTGGCAGCCATGGTTGTTTACGGATTTGTGTGATTTTGTCAGTGTGTTTAGTAAGGTTTGCCATTTCATCAAATCACGTTTTACTTTGGTACAACACTTGGAAATTGTCGAAAATTTTTACGCCAATTGACGGTCTCGAAAAAAACGCTCATCGATTCAAAATCATACTCTCAGATGAGGCATGTTTCTGTCAAGCAAAATTGTCGCTTTGGAGTGAGTCAAATCCTTGTGTGGTTCAAGAAACGCCATTGCAACCCAAAAAATTTAACGTTTGGTACAAATTGTGGTATACTTGTAGACGCATCATCGGTCCTTATTTATTTCGAAATGATAAATAGCGAGCATTATGACACGATGTTGACCGATTTTTTCCCCGGTATTTGTAGAAATCGACGTGGACGATCTCTATTTCCAACAAAACGGTGCGCTGCTCATGTTTCTCGCCTAAACGTTTACACAATGCGTGCAAGGTTTGGCGACTCGTTAATTTTGAGAAATGGCCGAGTCAAATGGTCGCCAAGATCATGCGATTTAACGCCGAGATTATTCGTTATTAAATCAAAGCTTTACGCTAATGAACCAGTAACGCTCGAGGAGCTCGAAGACAGCATTCAGTGCACTATAGCCGAAATTTTAGCCGAAATGCTGCACCATCATCATCGAAAATTGGCGTAAACGAATGGAGATATCCACAGGGAGCCGAGGTGGACATTTGGCCGACATTTTGTTCAAATCATAAATGGCATAAAATTATCTGCTTAACAAAAAAAAAAACGGAATACATTTTGGTCCAATTTGAGTGTTCTGTTTTATTTTAACGTCGTTCTTGTAGGTAGACTCTGTATATACATACATGTATATAAATACATATAGGTATACTATCTCATTAGCTTTTTTTCCATTTATGGTGTTATCCGAGATGACGGAAGAAGTTTTAAGCTGTCTCAGAACAGCTGTTATATTTTGTGAGAAACTTTTTGAGGTCGGAAATACATTCAGAGGTCTGGTAATATCTACCGAGGTACCTCGGAGGATATCAAAAAGTACTTCTGAAGATGGTCGAAAGTTAGAATATGAGAATAATGAGAAAATATCGTAGACAGTCTCGACTCTTAATAGGCAAAGTTACTTTTTGTTTGTTTTCCATTTTTAATAGGAAAAGACTTATTTTGCAATACTTCGTTTCTTTTAGAGAATTCAGTCGATGTGTTGTCTTAAAAGTTAGAGTGAATTGTTTCTAATCTTGAACATACATACATAGGTTTACATACAAGCTACTCTACAGTAAATTTTATTCAAAACATTTCTTCTAGCCAATTATATATACCTCGTAAAACGTTCTATCAAATAATAATAAAGTGGCTAAATCATTTTGATTTCACAATTTACATTGGAATGGCAGTGGCGCTATCTGTCGAAAATTGGTCGTACCAACTCAGAAACCTTTTTTGGCTCATGCGCAACAACTTTGCTAAAGATCATCACATGATCAAATGTATAGTGTACGATTCTATAAAGGACATATAGGCAAACATTAATATTTATTTACTTATATACATATAAAGATATAGATTCGAAACGGATAGAACTCTGTTACTATTATATCCACTCCGGCTGATTTCAAATGACTGGAATTATATGTTTTCTAAAAGTGGGAATCAGAAAAATATTAGGAATCAAAATCTTCGATTTATTTTTACGGAAAACAGACTTCTGGTGCAAAACAAATGGAATATGAAAAATCTTAACAACTTATTGTTTCAAATTTCAGTATTTTGATAATTTTTGGAAAGATCACTTTTAAGGTGCGAAATATGGGTATAGTTGCTTACAAAATCTATTCTGTGTTAGTTGTTTAGAGTTTAGATGAAATCGCATGCGATTTCGCGACACCAACTTAATCAAGTTCAGGTTAACTAGTGTAGCGTTATAAGTATATATTTTGAAGCCTAGTACTATAAAATCTGACTTATTATTTCTACATAAATATCAAAATTATTGTTCTCCAATATATGAATTTCTATTGTATTATTAAAACCATCAATGACCCACAAACAACTAGATGACCTACTAAAAGTTATTGTTTCTAAAGTATTATGCATATAATAAAGCTGAGTGATGCGAAATAACTTCTGCTCGCTATACTATTTGTATGCATTTTACATGTTTTTAAACTCAGTACTTGTTCGGACTTCGAAAGGTAGTAACTGAATATTTAAAAATGTTTAAGAAATTTTATGCGGCTTTACTTATTATCACTATCTTCAGAGCTGTTACTAAAGGTAAATCAATGAATTTTTCAAAATTTATATTTGTACATAAATTTATATATATATATATTTAAATCGATTTGTAGCGCAACTACCAAATTGCGAGCCTGTGCTTACTGTCATAACTAGAGGCCAAAATGTCTGCCAACGCAATTGTGCACCAAGACAACCGGCAAATGACTGCTATAGATCCATAGGTGTTCTAACTATTCGGTTATGTCCCCCGCTCTGCTGTCGGGATGCTAATAATCAATGCGTTGTCGCAATAAGAATTGGCAAATAAGGCCCAACTAAGTAAAATGTATAATTGCCGTATAATAATATAAAACACTGATCTGACAAATGATATTCCTTTTAGTTTTATTTCAATGACAACACCAGTCAGATGTTCATGCGAGACCTGTATTTTGGATGATATACTATGTTAAGCTTAAATGTGTTGTTCTTTCAATTTCAACCATAGTTGGAATGAACAAGATCGATGCTGAAGATACAGTGAAATTCAGACCACTGGAATCCAATTCATTCTGAGAAGCTGTGATAGACATTTACGAGTATAATACAAATATGGGACTTAATTTTTCGCATAAAAACGGATTATAACTTGCCAGTTATCTGTGAGAGCGGACACTCCTCAGCAAGTTGTGTCACATATCTGATTAAGGAATGGCTTTCAGGGAGTTTTCCTAACTTTTTAGAGGATATTTTTAATTCGCCTATATTTTTGGAATGTCATCAAATGGAAGAGAGAGCTCGGAACATATTTAGTACATCGAGCCTTAAGCGTCATTTATCTCACAAGAGTGGCGCGATAAGTACAAGTATTTACTCTCACCGTCTGATTGGGCTGCTATCGTAGGAAACATTAATTATGGAATCACACTCGTAGTTTTGGAAATGGAAAAAGAGCTACACATATCGATGGGTGTGGCAATAAATTCCTGATCTTCGCCAGGCAAAGCTGTTTCTGAGAGATTTTAATGCAAAACGCTTCAATCATTAATCCAATAGAGGCCACATTAGGAATAAACTATAGGGTATAGTGCATTTAACAACTCTCAATCCAAGATAATGTCGTTGGGTGATTAAATTTTTGAGCCGCGTATGTCCACTCCGAACTCTGGATCACCACTACGAAAGCCTACTTTGAAGACCTCCAGAAAACGTATTTTTCAGAGGAGTTAAAGAAATTGGAGTTCGGCTGGGTCAAAAAGTAACAAGCTAATAAGAGAGTATGTTGAGAAATAATAAATCGTGCTTTTCTTTCGTAGACTAAGTTCATACCGACCGCAGCTCATAATGATAATAAGTACCTGCAATTGATAAAAATGGCGGAAACAATGAGAAGAGCTATGAGCTATGAGAGACTCTATGAATCGTATAAATCTTATGATCATATAAAACCACTGGCCGTTTACTGCTCTCTCCTTCTACCCCTGCGGGCAGGGGATAGAATATGCCCGCGGCAAGGCATCCCTGTCGTAAAAGGCGACTAAAAGCCAATATGCACTATGACTGTTATTATATACCTTGCTCAGTAATATCAGCATAGTATGTTTAGGAATAGTGCTATAATACTCAGCTTGAACTGATATTATAAACACTTTAAATGAAAAAGCGAATAAAAAGACATTTGAAGTTCAAGCGACAAATGTCACCAGTCATTTGAGTAATGGGTTGCTCAACTGGCAGTACTTTAGGCTACGCAGTCTGACCGGAGACTTTCCGGTACCACGGGGAGCAGAGAGCCCTTGGACTTCTGTTCAATCTGCTCATTGGGTTCGGGCCTTTGGGGAGTATCGTGGTGGCTGTGGTTTAAACCTAAATGCTGGAAGAACTGAATTTTCAGTTCGAAAAAAGAAGTTGCACAAGCAACTGAGTGCCGTACCCGAAAACGGAAGAGGTTTTAGGTCAGCCTCGAATCATACCAAGATGGTAGTGTGGACCCAGACACACTGCCATTGGTATCCAAATAATATTTGCAAAAAGCTCGTATTGTTTGGGGCGTTTATCAAACGCAGGATTTGATACGCCGTGCTCTTGAGCACCGTGAGGTAAGGCTGTCGCCGGCAGGTACTCACGTTAATCTACAACGCAAGTTGCTCTCTCCTTCTGTGTATTATGGAAAATTCTTACTCTTAAAGCCTACATCTAATATTAGTAATGCAACGTTAGTAAAAGCTGGCGACAGGTTTCACATGCGCACAAATATATATGGGAGTATAGGTATAAATAAATGCATGTGGTGAAAAGCTTGGTCACTGGTGAGTATACGCGGCATTTAAAATAAACAAACAATATCAATACCGGTTAAAATAAACCTTTTGAGAGCAACTGGAAAAGCACGTGTGATATTCGTAAGATTTTTATATGTGGTTCATCAACCGACTTTACAAAGTTAAAAATGGCAAGCTAAGTATATATGCAAGTATTTTATCAAATCAAATTCCAGTGTATATTGTGTGTCAGCCCAATTTATAACGATCACTTAAAATGTTGAAATTTATTTACACAGCTTTGGCATTTTCTTCGATTTTCTTCGCTGTTGCAAATGGTGATAAAGAATTAAAATAATAGTTAATCCGGTATATATGCTAACGTATTTATTATTCATGGTGTCTTTTAGCGCAAGCTTTGGTCTGTTCACCGTTAGATATGCAGGTGAATAAGTTTGAAACTGTCTGCGAGCCCAATTGTGCACCGAGAGAACCGGCAAGAACGTGCTTTGTACCATCAAGACCAGCCACGATCGCTATGTGCCCGCCACTCTGTTGTCGGGATAGTAATGGCGAATGTGTGGCAACTGTGAGAATTGGTTGACTGGGAGCATTGTCGAAACATTACACCGAACTGAATGTGACAAGTATTAATGAAAGATAAAGAAGTATATTCATAATTGGAGTCTTTATTAAAAAAATAAAAAAAACAATGTTTTTCAAAATGTTTCTAACGCATTTAATGACAAGTTCAGTAAGAGTTTTGAATCTGATGGATGAAAATTGACCGCTAAATTTAGCGATATTTTAGGCACGGACGTAATTCTACGGTTAAATAATTGGTTAGGAAACGGGATAACACCGCATAAAAATCTAAGAGACTATAATGGCTCTCGTTTTTAATTTTTCATAAACTTCCCAGATTTCCTAATAAACCTTAACTAGCTTCTATAGTATTGATACTATCTTGTATAGAAAATAGGACATATTGAGCCTAGACCACAGAAAGTTTTTTTATCTGATCGTTATGGTATTCTCGTGTTCATAAGTTTGGCGGCAAAGATCGGTTCAAAACGTTCAAGTCAACTATTAAGAGATACAATAACCAAATTGCTGAAGGAAAAGTGGGGTTATTAGAAGAAATTCTTAACCTAGAACTATGCTTACAAATAACCTTTGACATAACTGGCAGAAGCGTTACAATTTGATAGTGCAGCATAGCATTTGATCAAATTTGCCGCGGACTGGCTCATTGAAACTGCGTGAATCGATAAACATTTTTTTTCGGTCATGACTTCAAAAGTTTATCTGGCGATTTTTACCGCAGAAAAAATTAAACAATGAGCTTGCCGAAAATTTTATGTTTCCAATGGCATCACGGCTACAGAATAGTTCAAATGCTGCAGAAGTGTTTTGGGAAGTCTACTTCATAACGAATACAAGTATTACAAAGTACTTGGCTAAGGTTGTGAGCTCATCGAAAACTTGCCTAATCCGGGTCGTCCATCAACCTCTGTTAGTGACGATAACATTGGAAAAGTTAAGAAAACAGTACTTGAAAATAGTTGGTGTCAACATATGATCGATCTTATGGATCAACTCAAAACATTACCTGAATCTTTTGCAAAAACGACGTGGAGTATAAATCGCAAAAGAGATGCTAGATAACGTTGCTGTTGATCCTGAACTCATCATAGGCATCATTACTGCTGACCAGACGTTGAGACTGTCCAGCAATCTTCAATTGGATTATACATATGTTGACATGCTTCTATTGGCTTAGAAACTTATTTTGTAGGCGATAATAAAGATTTGTATTTGTATTAAAATACGTGAAAAGTGGTTTTTATTTTTGCCAGTCCGGGTCAATTTTGATCGCATTTAGCATATAAGTGATAAATATATGGGTTAGCTGCAGTAAATGAATGGTAAAAGAACAGTCACATCAGTCAATTCAAAAATAAGAAGATGTACCAACAGAAGCAAGAGCGGACAAGCTCCCAGCCACAGATGGTTTGGATGCGAAAATATCTTTCAGATTTATCAATACGGAGAGTTCTACAACAGTTGAATAATTACTTTCGGTTGAAAGGGCTTTGACTTTTATTCTTTTTATTGAAAAATTACTTCCGCCTTATTTCAGATATAAAAACCGAATTAAAAATAAAATAATGACACTTAATCACCAATCACCACCCTTAAAGATGACGAAGTTTATCTCCGTAACTATAATTTTCTTGTTTTTAAGTACAGCTTTAGTTCAAGGTAGATAAAATTCAAGTAATTGAAATGGGAAAAAAAACAAAAATTATAATTTTAAATATTTTACCAAATATTATAACTATTAAACTGTATATATATATATATATTTCTAAAAGCAATTATTCATTCTCTGTTGAAACGCAAGGAACTACAAATTGTCAAATTCAACAAACAGTATTCATACGGAAGGGTAATCGTGTCTGTATATTCTATTGCCCACCAAAAGGGGTCACTTGCATAACGGCTATTCGACCCATGCAAATACAACCTTGCATCCCCGGTTGTTGCCGCTCGGGCAATAAATGCATTCCCTTGAGGAAGGGTTAGTGATCGGGCTCAATGAAGGTAGAGACGTAATAAAGAATGAAAAAATAAATAAATATTTTTTGAAATAAATAAATAAATTACTAAGTAATAAATAATATGTTTTATTGTATTATGTTTCGAATTTGAGTCTTTAAGGTGATTAGACTTTAAACGAAATAACTATACCCTAAATAGGGTATATTAAGTTTGCCACAAGTTTGTAACACTCAGAAGGAAACCATATAAAAATATATTTAATACGATTGTCCAGCGTTCACTGGATAGGCCGTAAAAGATCAAAGGAATCGTCACCCAGTTTGCAGTTTTCAGTTATTACTAGGTATTTGTATGAGTTTTAAAAGCAAGTACATCTTAAGGGTGTTTTTTTAGATATGTGGTTTTCAAGAAATGCATATAATTTAAAAGGCGGTATAGCTTTAAAAATGATTTTATCCAAGTGACCGTCGCGGCTGGCACGAGTATTTCCAACCGAGAGGCATAATTTTCGACCACTTTTTGCCCTTGGTGGCCACGCCACAGGCCCACCAAAAGTTGTCTTCAATAAATTGGATGTTTCATTTCCTGTATGGCTTGTAGCGCCGTCTCCGTGGAACCAAAGGTCGTCCACTTCAACATCCTTCAATTCAGGCGAAAAAGTCATTTATCATGGCCATATAGCGATTCCTATTGATCCAACAATATCGGCTCCATTTTTGATTAAATATGGACGAATGATTCCCTCTGCCCATAGAGTACACCAAACAGTGAATTTTTGAGAATGTAATGGATGATGCGACAATTTTGTTTATTTTTTTTGAGGTTCACGTTGAAACATATTTTTTGTGAAATTCGAGTTCGGTGATCATCTCATTATGGGCCCATTCACCGAACGTGGGACGAGCGTGATGGTCGTTCGGCTTCAATTCTTTCCCGAGTTGGATTATGTAAGCCGGCAAACCAAGATCCTTCTGCATAGATTGAATGGGCACAGCTCCAATTGTTGAGTGCGATGGCGGATGGCCTCATTTGGGTCTTCTTCGATGCTCTGTACACTATAAAGCGTCTTTGAGTAAGCGTATAATCCACTAGAGTAAACGTAGTGCGAAATCTATCCATGAACGCTCGACTTACCGATTCTGTTGGGCGATTATATCGACCGAGTATCGATTTACAAACGTTGTTCCGTAGAAAGTCTATTCATTATGAAATGGCAAATCAAACTGAGTATAAATCAAATAACAGCTGTCAAAAAGATCAACTCCGAAAAAAAGTATTGCCTCATTGATAACCACACATTTACAATGTGTGTTATTACTTAGGACGAATGCTTTTTGGCATAGTCTTATAAAGTAAAGAGCCTACCACTTGAACACCCAAGATATATGATTAAGCAGACCGGAATGTCTTCGCTAAGCAAATATTGGGTAATTGCCCGGTATTCTTTCTAAAGACTGTTGTATTTAGTAATTTGCGAACTAATGAAGCCAAAATATTAGTTTCATATTACATTAATTTTTCTCTATTTAATATTTTCCTCCCAAGAAGAACCGACCTAGGTGACAAAAACAATATATATATTTCATTGCATACTTTAATTTGTTTGAAGTTTTGAACTAAGAAATAGAGGTTTAAAAAAAACGAAGTGTTAATGAAAATGTGTGCGCATGTATCAATGAACCAGGCGTAACTTTTTAAGAAATCAACTGTATACAAATTGACATAACAAAACAATAAATATTAAAAAGTTAAATTGAGTATTGTTTAAAAAAGTATTATGCCATGCCATTTCGGTTTCAATTAAGTATAAAAGGCCAGTTCCTCGTTTTTAGTCGACAGTACAATTTCGATTTAACAATAATTAAGTATTAAATAAATTCGAGAAAATGACAAAATTCGTTTATGCAGCTGTAATTTTACTACTGCTGGGTGTTGCTATAATTAAAGGTGAGAGTCATACACGTGGTATAGGTGCGCATATGCAGGGTCCATCAATAAAAGCAAACCATACTTTGGTTTGGAATATTTAAATTATACATACGAGAATCTGTTGCATATGGAATACAAAATCGTTTCATGGATTTAAGCGAAATAGAAGAAATTAAGAAGAGGATATGTGTCAACAACTTTATGTTCTGGAAGTAATTGTGGCAGCTTATATTGATATTTTGTTAAGCAAATAGCAATGGTGACAAATTTTCTACCCTTAAAATACAAATTTTTTCAAAAATTTAGCAGGTTGTCAAAAGAAGATAAAATCAACGATGAAATAGCTTTTATCCGATTTACGCTTCAAGTATTTATTCGGCGGTCGAGCTTTGGTATGCTCCAAAGGAATTGGGAAGCTATACTCATGAACCTTATATATATGTCTCTTATATATTATATATATTTTTTTGTAATTTATAAATTTTTAAAATCAATTCTTATAATATCCATTAGTTTACAACTTCTTAAATATTTCCTACACAATGACTTAGCGTTCTGGCCAACGCATATGCTTACGTAACTGTAAACCACGATCAAGTGCATGTATAACGGCTGTAAGAACAATTAAAGTACAAACATGTTCACCAGGTTGTTGTCGATCGGTCAGTGGTTGCGAATCCTTAAAGAAGGGATAATTTGGGTGTCTAATGAATGCACTTTTATTATATATAGATATATGTATTGCTTATCTTATATTCCTACCAGTGCAGTTGTAGGTGTCAACTACCTTATTTTTTTGGGAAGAGCTATGAATGTGTAGAAATACAAGTATCTGAGTCAACCTAGTTTGAGGGTTGTAGTTGTTGGAACAAAGTGTAATTTCAATGAGACTTCCCTTTCCAAAAGTGGGTTTTTTTTTGTAACAAACCTTATATTACTCAAACATATAGGAAAAGTTAAAAACAAGACAAATTATTTTCTTTTATTAATTTTTAGCAAATGCTTGTATGATTCGGATATTTCTGACGAATCCCGGTCAACGCATATGTGAATTGAAATGTCGTCCACCGGGACAAATGCCTGTTATGGAATGCTATACACCGACACGCGTTTATCGAGCAGTTGCTTGCCCCAGACATTGTTGTCGTTTGGAGGGACCCATATGTAGAGAGCGTTGAGTCTGAATTATATACTCGTACACCTGTTAAGGAAAATGGGAGACTTACTTTCTAAATAAAAAATAATGGTGTAATAATGTAATAAAAAATGTATAAAATGTGGTGAACACCTTGAATTGAGAAAATATTTAATTTTAACAATTTTAATTAAAGTTAAAAATTTTTAGTGCTTGGTATTTTCACTAAAAAACGCATTAATTTATACCAATCGACCAACAAATATTTTAGGAAGCAATATGTTTCTAAAGAAAATGTTAAAATAACATTATTTGATCCTTCTCGATACCTCTGAGCAGCGATAATAGAAAACCAAATTATGATTTTGCCTTAAAACCAGGATCTGCGGTCACCTAATTTTACTAATGTTTAAAGTCGTCTTTTGTAGAAAAAAAAATCATAAACAGCAAAGTAACAAAGTTAAAAAATTAAAAATGGCAGAGAAGGAGGTTTGGCGAGAATGGTTTAGATCCTATCAATTGAATATATATAATATATAGTACTTATATAATATAAATATTTCATATATTCAGCATGAATGAAGCCTGGGAAACCGTGGTTTATGCTACTGAAAGGGAAAGTATCAGGAAATTAGAGTACTTTTCAAATGAAACAAGAAAAAACGTTAACTTCGGTTGGGCCAAAGCTATAATACCCTTCACAAATGCAAAAGATTCCTTACAAGAATTTGATTTTAATCGGTCAGTTTGTATGGCAGCGACTCGACTGTATGCTATAGCGACTCGATCTGAACAATTTATTTGGAGATTATATAATTGCCTTAGGCCAAATTTTATGAAAATATCTCGTCAACTAAATAAAATTTGTTTCCGTCATGTCATAATTAATGACTTTTTCATGCCTGAATTGGAGGATGCTAATGTAGACGACCTTTGGTTCCAACAATACGGCGCTACATAGCCAACGAAAATATCAAATTATTCAAGGCTGCTTTGTGAGCGTATTATCTCTCACGTGGCGATCACTTGCACAAAAGCAATTTTAAAACATAATAGCAAACCTGTATATTTCTAATAAAGCTAAATCCTTGACAAACATTAAATTACATGCGTTTTAGTTCCTCTTGAAAATCATATATCTTAAAAAAAACATCCGTTAGAAGGCTTAACACAACGGTAAGTTCAGCAAAAGATTTCTGAAGAGAATACGAGATAATTAAAATAAATGTAAATGTAAAAATGTAGGGACCAACATTCTACAAAGAGTCTTCAAATATGAAAATAGCTTTCTGTTCTGGCGTGTAGCTCATAATTTTCCGGGGAGAGGCTAAGAAGTCTCACAGTTGCTATAGAGACGCTTCATATAATTTTATTTTCTAACTTTAGTCGTAAAGTGCTTTGATAGCATTTCAAAATTTAAAGATTGTTGTAATATTTTTAAACGCTATTTAAAACGATTATATTGATAGTAATTTAAAATAGTATGTTGATATAATTTAGCTGATCCAATCTGTGCATCTCACAAATCACCATAAAGCTTTTGGCTTAAAGTAACGCAAGATAAAGAAAGCCGAAGAAAATGTCTGAAAAAATGATGAATCACTGAACAGTAACAAGCAAATCCAAATTAAGGGGAATAAAAGAGAAAGTGAAATAGCTGTGTTTAGCCGACGGAAATTCACGTCAACTTTGTAACAATTTTTTAAAAATATTTTTCTAAACGTCAAGAAAGTAAAAATAATACAGTTTCTTAGTGTAATTTTTTTTGTACAAAGTAAAATGAAAAAATAAAACCTTTACAAACTCCGTGTAGACTCACCTGACTTAGACGCGCTTTGTATTTAAATTTGTGGGTGGGTATGTTGTCTTGTCATTGACGCCTGACTTGTGTAGATATTTTAAATCTCGGCAGGCGACTGCCGCCAAATAACGCAACACAGTGAAGAAAATAAAAATATTTTGCAGCAAAGCTATAGAAAGCAAAGAAGCGTCGAAGGACTTTGCAAACTGAAAAAAACAAGAACGTGGCATCTTACGAAATCTAGCGGTGTAAGAAAATGAAATAAGAATCATCACAGGTAAGCAGCAATAAAAAGCTACCTTGAGTCGAGCAAAATGATTTATTTATTTTGAAATGCGTTTTTTGCTCTAAGCCAAGGTGGCGCAGCGAAATTCAATGGCAACAGTTGCCTCCACTCCTTTAGCCACTAAAATTGATTGCTAAAAAGTTGTTGTTTTTTCTAACCACATCACCAAAGCAAAGTAATATGAATCAGGTTAATTATTCAAGCGCGTTATCAGTGTGTGTATTTGTGTGTGTGGCAGTAATTTGACCTGTAGGTGGATGCGTTGCTTCTTAGAAGCTCGTTAGGCTGTAGAAGAGCGAATGAGATTGCAAAATTTGGCAAATACTTTGCAAAATAAAGGCTAACATTTCTAACGAAAAGTGTATGTGTGTATGTAGGCATGTACATATATCTGATTATTAGACACATTTTGTAGGCTTTTTATGCAAAGTAGATTGACTTATTCATATTGTAAAGCGTTTAAGATATAGACTTTAATGCGGCGGCTGACAAAAAATAAGCATAGATATTCTAAAAGCTTACAGCAAATGATTAATTGTGCGTTTTTCTAAAGAGTAAAGTCAAATATGTACACATAATATGTTTGAGAAATGTGTGTGTGCCAGAATGTCGTATGAGTAACTTTCTATTGCTGCCAAGTGTTTTTTCTTTGACTAAGTCAAAGTGGTATGCTTTTGAGGTTAAGTAAGGTAAATATTATGCGTTGTAGCGCTTTAAGAGTGATGAAGTACCTCTGTTAATAAGTGAAAACGTTTTGTAAATGTAAAGTCGCCCATTAAAGCTATTAAAAAAGAGGCATATTTCTTTTATGTATTTCACCAATTTTAGCAGCATAACATAGAGAGAAAAATGAGATTGATTGAAATTAGTCTTAAAAAGTTAAAATAGGAAAAAACCGTTCTCTTCATAAATAATAAAGTTTCCATACAAAAACTTGATTTGGATTGACCAGTTTGTATGACAGCTGATTTGAACAATCTCTTCCGAGATTGTATTTTTACCTTGAAACCTTGAACAATAAGCCATGTCTAGTATCGTGTAGATATCTCGACAAATGAACGAATTTCTACGCAAGCGCTTAATTCCGATCGTTCAGTTTGTTTGACAGCTATATGCAATAGTAATCCATTCTGAAGTATTTCTTCTAAGATTGTATCATTGGTTTATGGGTAGTAACGCATATCAAATTTCGCGAAAATATCTTGTTAAATATATGCTATAGTGGTCCGATATCGGCTATTTCCACAAATGCGCAGCTCATTAAGAAGAATGTGTGCAAAGTTTCAGATCAATATATCAAAGACTAGTTCAAGTATATACCGACATACGGATGGACGGATAGACAGACATGACTAAATCGACTCAGCTCATCACGCTAATCATCTATCATCATACTTGTACTTTATAGTGTTTCCCATGTTTCCTTCTCGTTAAGTAGAAAAAATGTTAAATATTTTATGTGTTCATAAATAACTTTGACTAGATGTTTAGATATTTATCCGAAGCAAAGCAATCACCTTCCGATAAAGTGTAGTATTTTAGTAGTAGAGCAAACCAAGACTTAGAAATGGAGGGACTAATTAAGTTATATTCAGATCCAAAATATATCGCAGACTAATGAAGAACTCGCGAGTATGATATGACAAATATGTTGAGTGAAGGTCCAGTGAAGGTTGTACTTGTAGTAACAAATCAAGCGTATGCATATGTTCAATCCCTTAGACCTTTGTAAGCGAATTGCTTTTTTTTAATTGTGAATCTAAAAGCGTTAACCAAAAGTTTAGTAAAATTCAAAAGAAGTACAAATACAAAAATTTACAGATCTCTACGTATTTAAAGTATTTAGTAGTTATGTATTTATTCCGATTTGATCTTTGAACTCTTTAATACATTCCAGTCTCCTCAAAGGTATACACTTTTTACCGAATAAACAACAATTGAGTGGACAAACTAGTATAAGGGTATTGCGATATGGTGCACCTGTTTGGTCGGGGAGGACAATTGCGTAAGCAGAAGTTTTGTTCAACATGCAGCCGCATCATCAGGGATAAGATAATATAATAGGATCAGATAATATAATATAATACATGCTTACAATGTAAATGTGGTATTACTGCGAATGAAATCCTAAAACCTGCATTATCTTGAATTAAAGCGACACTAAACAAAAATAAAATTACCAGCTGCGTAAAAAGTATTTTGTATTTTTCCAATGAAGTTGAGCTGGTTGAAGTTCAAGAGGTAACAAAAACGTTGAGATGGCATATACGCGATTTTTATATTCCTATTGAACTGGAAGCGCTACCGTGGAAGAGGTCATTAAACTCTTTTAAAATGCATTATTGTACATTATTGTAATAATATTGTTTATTGTAGGTTCGATGGCTCTGTTAAATATTTAACAATATATATTTAAAAAAAGCTTTTTAAAACAAGAATAATATTAACAATTATATATATACACACATATATATTTATAAGTTTTAGGTACCTACTTTGGTAAAACATAAGTTGTTTTTCTTCAACGTTAGTAAAAATATTTTTTAGTGCCAGGCAATTGGGAACACAATTAATCAGAATGTCAGTAAAAACGAAATTGAGTAAAGTGACTAAAATTGTTCCTAATTGGAAGCCGAAATTATAACATTGAAGACTTCCATATACACAAGTATACATTGCTCAAGCTTCATGAATTTAAATGTTTTAATTTTTGTAACCTGGACTGATAAGAAAACTAAACTCTTGGCTTCCTTGAACCTGTCAATTGAATTGAAGTTGAAGCAAAAAAGAAAGAAAAAATATTGAAAATAACTCCTTCACTTTATTTTTACTGCTTCCAAGTTGTAGTTTGTTCCGTCCAGATTTTTCTCCAGAGGCTGAACAAATTTTTCAGTATTCTATATATTTGTACAAAATAACTGATTAAATTAGTTTAAAATCATAAATGAAATATTTTTCTATTTCCCATTTTATATTAATATTTTGTCGAACCTGCTTGCAATTGCGCTGCCCATAATAGGTACCTTAGTTTGTAAGAACAATGGAAACAACTAAAATCTATCAGGGGAAAACTTCGAAAAGGGTGGAATTTATCAACAGTGCGCTGATAATTGTTTCTTTATAAACGCTTTTGCTTTTCGATGGAAGTTTTACACACATCATTTTTTTCCAAGAAATTGCTAATTTGTTGGAATTGCCGATATCGGACCCCTATATCATATAGCTGCCAAACAAATTGAACGATCAAAGTCAACTACCAAGTTTTTACTTTGTTTAGTGAGAAAACTTGCTATCAGCTTTGGATAATATCAGAGTTGATCATTCTTAAAATACTAGTAACTGGAATACTAGTAGCTGAGATCTTTTGTACTCAAAGATTTTGATATGATCTTATGAATGGTTGTTCCCAACCCTAAAATTATGTATACTACTCATATGATTGTTTTTAAGCCACTGAATATATATTATAAAGGTTTAATACTTCTTGATATCTTCACAGCGATTGTGTTTAAAAAACACCACGTTTTAAAGTCATCTAATTTTTCTTCATTTTGGATTAAAAGCTCTGAGTACTGCTGCTTTACTGTTCGAGAAATTTTAAAATTCTTTATGTTCATAGAAAATGTCCCTTAAAAAATATTCATATAATATATAATATTGCCACTGTAGATCTAAAACTGATTCTTGAGGAATAAAAATCAACATTTTGGAACGAAGTAAATATTTGGAAACACAGTTGTCACATCTTGAAAGAACTAGATGAAAGTATAATAATCAAACATTTTAAGAAAGTCGTTTGGAAAATATACAATATTTTGAAGTAAAAGCACTAAAGAAATTATACCACAAGGAATTAAGAGGTGTTTTAACTTACACATTTTCTGAAATAAAGTCAACACTTCTTTTTAATTGAGGTTTGGAAAATTATTTGATAAAAATGTTTCCATAAAAATTTCTTTGCCTAATTAATAATATTATTAACGCAAAAAGACAAAAAACGACAAAAATATTATATTTTCTTATCTTGGTCATCATTATGATTCTACAGGTTTGATTATGTTTAGTTGTGTACACCACAACATATCCGGCCATTGCATGAGATATGTATAAATCTATTCTGTTGATATTAATACCGCTACATATGAGTTTGACTCGTATTCCATATATGCCGTAATATAGTAGTAGGTGTAGGTTACCTACTTACACGGATATAAGTATATTCCAACTCATTGAGGCTCACACTAAGAGCCTAATTACTTATATAATTGAAATCGAGCACATAAGAGATGACAAGCGAAATTAGTTTCACTCATGCTTCCGAATACTACCGAGCGAACACGTATTAAATACCCTTGAATGCGTGTTAAATGGAGGGGAATGTTGACATAAAAATTTTATGACTGCACTTGAAATATGCTTTTAAGGAAAAACTCAAGAGCATGAGTAAACAAGCAAACAAACAAATATGGCAGCCACACCGCCCCCAAGAAGTGTGCAATGAACGCTAAAATTATAGAAAAGTTACAGCAAAAAGAAGATCCTTGATGCTCAGATACTTAAGTGTTGAAGTAAGAGAAATAACCGAAAATCAGCTTGAGCGCACAGAGATTTTCACGCGAAAAAAGTAACACTGTGTGGGTGGCGCACTCAACAGATCTACCCTACACCATATGAAGCACTGTGACAGCGGATTGAGAGGGCATGCAAGAGCGGTTGGTGGAAGAGAAGTGACACTAAGCTGGTGTGCAGTACGCAGCAAAACGAAATCAAAGATAACAACTCATCAACAACGTCATAAAAACGTGACATCAATTTTATTGCTCCGCATAGTGGCTATAGAGAGAGGGCACCGCTGAAAACGAAAAACAGTGTGTAACTCGCCCTGGAATCGCTGGTGATAATGATGAGTGGGGATTAGTGTGAAGTTAAGGAACTAGCACACCCAAAATATGCTCAGTTGAACGCCTGAGTTGTTAACGCTTTTATGTTTCGACCAGACCAGAAATAATAGGAAAAAAAAGGAAACAAGAGAAAAAAACGTCGACAAATTAAGTGAAGTATCTTGAAGAACTTTAACGCAAATTCATAAAGCGAGTAAAGTTGGAGCGGGTTAGTCATGTCGTGAGGGGAATTTCGGGGCAAAAAAAGCTTAATTCATTGGTCATTGATGGAGATTAATAAAGAAACCAAGAATGTAAGAAAATGCAGAGAAAAATAAGTGAAAACTGAAAATAGATCACGCGCTTTGCAGTCTTTAAATATCTAGATACAAATAGTAATATACATATGTATATAATAAGTGTTTAGGTTTATATATGTAGTATGTAATGAAATAGATTGAAGAATTTGTACTTAAGTGCGTGCTGTGCACGTTACGGCTATAACTTTTTACTTACATTTTGTGTTGGAAATTGGAATATTATTGTTGTTGTTGTAAGTGTATCCTTGAGCCGTGGCATAGTAAAGCAAATATCGACCCGCAATCAAAGGTCACACAAAGACAACACAAGCTGCATACAAGTACACGCAAATAAGGAGCTGTGAAATAAATGAAGAATTGAAAATGAAAAGAAATGAATTACTTCTAATATGTACTATGAGTAAAATTTATATTTATTTGTGTGATATCTATAATCCCAATAACCGAAAAGTATAGAAGCTGAAAAGCTGAGATGGTTTGAAGTTTTTGAAGCATTTTAGAGCGAAGGTACCCATTTGAAAAAGGTCTGGACTATAAAGACCTCACAAGCAAGTTTCCAGAGTTTATGGCGAGTCATTATCGATGAGTGTGGCTTGGATCACAACGCCATGGATCACAAATTTTCTCCTATTGTCCAACCTCGCTGTTTTTGGGCGATTACTCTTTTCAGACGGTCCAACTGTTGACAGTACAGCTCCTATCTAAGAGCGAAACCTTACTCATATGGTTTTGATGGTATCGAAGAAACCAAAAAGACCATAAACGCTATTCGCAATTTCAACGGTTTTAATTTCGTTTTCGCCTTTATCGAAGAAAGTCTATAAAATATGGCTTATCTAAAGCCATAACCCACCGGTTTTTATATTATACTTGTATGTACAACGGGAGTTTCAGTTTACTACAGTTATTTATTGTAGAAGTAATGAATTACATTTTACTAGACCTTACTTATACAGTGTAATTTATTCTGAGTGGTGTAGTTGGAGAGTACTTCGATTATTACAGGCAAACTTGACATAATCAACAAATGTATCTTATCTGAACCAAATCAAAGTAAGATGATTTTAAAGATGGCGAGTAAAACATGTACGTAGAAAATATTAGAGATGAGTACTGTATAACGCGATATGCTGATGAAGGATTCATTTAAAGTTTTGCTTTGTATTCTGTGAACATCGGCCAAAATTTCAACTCTTTATTTACCAAAGTAATATAAGACAACCGTTTCTATAAGAATATATGCTGAGAATGCGCATAATCCACTAGATGAAACGTGGTGTGAAACCGATCCATGGTTGCTCGAATTACCGACTCTGCTGGCCGATTATGTCGACCGAATAACGGGCGCAAAAAATTAACACGATTTGCAAACCTTATTTTGAAGTAAGTCTGTTAATTATGAAATGGTAAAACAAACTGAGTATAAATCTAGTAACAGCTGTCGAAAGGACTAACTATGAAAAAATTATTGCCTTATTGAAAAACAAATGTCTAAAAAACATCCGTTATATATTTCAAATATAGATAAAATAGGGCCACTAATGTGTATTTTTGGTAATATTTCAAATATCGGCCCACTTTTGCTGGGAGTTTTTTCCTTTTGAGTTAACTTGAACGAAAACTACACTAACTAACTACATTACTAAAACTAAAAGAACTCCATTTTGAATGGAAGCGAATCGGAGAACGAAACTATGATCTGAAACAATCTTTTTTTATGTCTAAGCCATACTACATCTTTTCAAAAATAGAATAGAAAAACACATAATAGAATAGAAAAGAAATATATATATTTAACAAATTATGAATAAAGAAATAAGACGATGATTTACATTATCAATACTTTTTTATAAATGTTTCGAGAAACAAAAGCTTAAGAGCGCATACTTTCGAATCTAACACCACACCAGATTATTTACGATTTCTTACTTTGATAAACACTCCACCATGAAATACGCTTATATATAAGAGAATCGGTGTTGCCAAAAATTGTTTCTACTAGGGGACTTAAGCTATTTACTCGCTTTCTTTTCGGCACGCTTCCTTCTTAGTATACCTTATGATATTAGACTCAAAAAATCTTCTGCTAATTAGATTTTTATTGAGTTTTAGACAATATTGCGTATTGGGTTATACAATTAAGAAACAAAACTCCAAACTATTCCTAGCCATACGCACTCAATACCGAAACAAATTACACTTTACTGCTCTCTTTTCCCTCAGTCCTTGTGTGATCAATTGGTAGCTGAAACAACACAGATACTCATAGCATAGTCATCGCGTGAAAGAAAACAAACATAAATCCTACGAATTGCCAGTGCAAATTGGTAAGCAGCTTCACAGAAACAAGAACGTAATATAGTAACGTAGAATAGTAACGGAGTTGAAAATGGTGAAAAATATGTACATGCACGTATACATGCATACGCGTACGAGTGTATATGTTGCACAATAAAAATTCTATTGTTGTTTATGTTTATTTTAGCGCGTCTGAATGGCGCCCAAAGTGACGTTGAAACGACGAGTTTCACGTTGAAATCGAATAGAATGTGGCTGATATAGATTGCGGTGACAATGGCGGTGGCAGAAATTGTGAAGAATATGTGCGGAGATATGAGTGAATGTTGAATCTAGCTGATGCTAGAAATAGTGACACTAATGGTGATGAAATCGCGACAATGGCTCGAACACATTGAATATATTTCTCCATTACTTACAGCTTGGAACCGCAGTAAGACATACTTGATAAATATTTTTCAGCTGATAGGTGTTATTTTAGTTTTGAAATAAACGGTGACTATTGCATTTATCTCATCATTTACGGTAACTGTTTCACAAATGCTTTCCCGCAATGGGCACTTTTGTAGAGGGTTCAATTCTGAAAAAACCGACTTTGGTCAAAGTGATGCCATGCAATGCCGCTAAACTATAGAGATTTAAAAATAAAAAAACAGACTTGTATTTTCAACGGGATATCTTTACACGCCTTGGTTCCTATTTTTTTTGGTATTTCCAACAAAATTTCAAGAACGGAAACGAAAAAAAAATTTTATATAAATGATCAGGAGGATGTGACGGGTTGAAATTCCTGTGCAGGCGATTACTTGAGTAAAAATTGAGGTATCATGGTGAAACTTACTATATATGTTCTTTGGCAACCAAGCAAATAATTAAGCACTAAGTTGAGATATAAAATTGTAATTTGCTACAGGGGATCGCAGCACGCTGTGAAAATGAAACGAAATCGAATGACAATCACGCCTACTTTCCATATCATAAACTTTTAAATTCCATGTTAATCTTTTATTTTACAGTTTACGTTTAGTATTTCATCGTACGCCAAAATATTGTAGAAATCGGGCCTTAACTTTTCAGAATATATACTTGATTTTTTTTTACCGAATATATCGGTCAACCTGTGAGTTCGAGTATTGACAATCAGAGAGAATTATTTTGCGAAGGGCATACTGTCCTTGTGTCGAAAATTGGTCAAATTGGGGCAATACTTACCTAATATACTAACCTAATATAAATATTTTCAAAGTTCCGGTTGACTTTTTATCGGATCAATCGGTCAATATGTAAGAAATCTTAATGAGCCTCAGAAATAATCTCTTTCTAATAAGAATGCAACTGCTTGCTTGTGATTATAAATAATGGATGTAATACTTTCTATTTTTAATTAAAATATCGATTGTCGGTATATTGTCGGTTACACCAAAACTTAGCCCATCTTTACCTCTAATAATTGAACTGCAAAATTGAACAATTAACTGAAGTCTACAGTTTAGTTTCAAAATTTCAAAAAAAAGCTAAGTGTTGTAAGGATATTTGAAATAAACCAAAAAAGCATAACTTAATAACTCTGAATATTGTTTCCCACTGGGTAACTTACGCTCAAAATAATATTAAAAACAAATAGTATAATACGTACAACCAAAAGCACAATAATCACAAATATAGCAACAACAAATTATCAGCAGTAAAAAATTTCATCAGTCAAGTACCAACAAGTAACGAATTGAAAATTTTGAATCTTACATCTAACTTATCTTATTCGCCTGAAATGTTCATAAAAAAAAACAATCTAAGCGATAATCAAAAGCTGGAATATACAAACAAAAATCGTGTTTTCGGAGACAGAACAAGTTGGTGACGAATGGTGTTGCCGCGTTCGTTGCTTGATGAATTGAAGGACAAAAAGGCAACGAATCATTTGCGCTTAGCACATGTAACTGCTTCAGCGTCGTTGTCGTGTAATTCATCGCGTTCGTTAAGTTTGAGGTTAGGATGCCACGCAATGAACCGTTAACCACGTCAAGCCACTGTTGACATGTTTGCTAGAGAGCGCGGCACTTTAGCTCACAGTCTGTTGAAGATTTACTACAGAAGTAGTTTTTGTTGTAGCAGTAGTATATATGGTGGGTGTGACGTTGTGAATGCTTTTGCTGATGGAAATGCTGGGAAATGACCATAGTAAATGGCGAAAATCAATTTGTGCATGATTTGTATGTGTGTGTGTGTGTAGTGGCTTTTTATTGTTCTGCGCATAATGCCGGACAACGGTCTCTCGTAAGTGTGGATTTGTGTAAACCACATTATGACAATGTGGTTAACAGATGTCGTTGACATTGTTGCTGATTTGATAATGCAATTTATCTTCTTTTATTCGAAGTATGCGTATATCTCATTAAGAAGTTCACAAAGTGTAGGGGAAAGGCTCAAAACCATATTGTATATAAGAAAATATGTCAGATATATCATATATGATGTACAGTCCACTAAAACTAAAAAATAAAACGTTAGCTTCGGCTGCAAAGAATTTATACCCTTCACAGGTGCGTTTATTAAAGCACAAATATGTATTAAAAGATCTTTATGTACCTATATTATTCTTGTTGTACCTATATCATTGTTCAGTTCGTATGGCAGCTATTTGCTATAGTAGTCCGATCTGGAAAATTTTTCGGAAAATGTGTCCTTGCGTCGGACAATAATCTGTGCCGAATTTCGTGCAGATATCTTGTCAATCAAAAAAAAGTTTTCCATAAAAGAAATTGATTTTGATTCATGAGCAGCTATATGCTATATTGGTCCGATATGACCGGTTCTGAAATGAGCAGCGTTTATGAATGAAAATGATTTGGGTAAAGAAATATCTCAAAAACGAATGGAAATAGTTAGCGTGAATACAGACGGACAGAATTGACTCTGCTCGTCACGCTGATATTTATATATATAAGTATATTCAGGGTATAATAAAGGTATTTAATATAAGTAGTTATGGTGCGATAGCTTTCATTTGCAACCTGTGGTAAAAGAGCATCATGGAAATTCC